CACCAAATTTGTGCTTTTCCAGCCCTGGTGATATTTATATTTTATTATAGGATTGAGGCTGGGAAGAAAGGGTTAACTTCTCAGAGACTCATCTGTTCTCAGTGCTAAGAAGCAAATCTTCTTCCAGTAGCTGGCCACTGCCTGCTGAGTAAAGTCCATACTTTTTCTTAGCAAGTCATTTTAAAGCTCTTCATGACCTTTATGGCTTCAGTTTTCTGCATCCTATACCCTGCCCTCCCCACAATCTAGGTATTCATTGTTACCTTGACATCCTGAACTCTTCCATGGGCCTGCCTTTGCTTAGAACAGTCCATCAGCTGGACATTCCCTTTGTCTTTTGTTTCAACCTGTTCAACTTCAGCTTATCCTTCCAAGATCCAGGTATGGTGTTTCATTTTCCATGAAGCTTTCTCTGATTCTACTTGGCCAAAAGTCATCCTCTTAAGCTCCATTGCACTCTTCTCTTGAGAAATCTATGGCATTCCCTTTTAGGGCTGTTTATGTGTGGCATACCTTATCTCACCTAGAGGAAACTGCTCCATAAAAGCTGGGTTCTAGTTTTAGCCATCACTGTAATCCCCACAGCATCCAGCCGTACACCTTCACACAATAGGGACTCCTATGTTCATTGAGTGAATTGTCAGTCACCATTTTGAAAGTGTCTTCATTTTGCTTTATCTTTTCAACTGGATAACCATTTGAGCCCACTGTTATCTGTAAGGGCTATAGAACAAACTGTTGTGAAACAAAAACACTTCATCCCATGTTGATACGTTTAGAAAGTTTATGGTCTGAGAAAATCTGTGCCTTTTAAACCTCAGAGGGCAGGTGTATTAACAAACTACAGAATTTTCAAATAAATGAAGAATTCCATTACCTCACTATTACTGTTGATGAATTGGCCTCTGACAGCACTTAAGCATCAAAACACACAGCGTCTTTTCAGGTGAGAGGCTGACATGAGGGATTTGATTAACTTTTAGAAAAGTCTTATGAAAAAGGACTGTTGAACTTTTTCCCAATTTGTTTCTGCTGTGGAATATGCTCTGTATCCTATCAAGTAGCCAAATCTTTTTCTGTGCCCTGTTTCATTATTGTCACAAAGTGCGGTTTTTGTTTGTTTGTTTGTTTGTTTGTTTTTTTGGCGATGGAGTCTTACGCTGTCGCCCAGGCTGGAGTGCAGTGGTGTGTTCTTGGCTCACTGCAATCTCTGCCTCCCAGGTTCAAGCAATTCTCCTGCCGCAGTCTTTCAAGTAGCTGGGATTACAGGCGCATACTACCATACCTGGCTAATTTTTGTATTTTTAGTAGAAACGGAGTTTCACCATGTTGGCCAAGCTGGTCTTGAACTCCTGACCTCAAGTAATCCGCTCACCTCAGCCTCCCAAAGTGCTGAGATTACAGGTGTAAGGCACCACACCCAGCCTATAAAGTGCTATTTCTTAAGCACTACCTGGGGTCAGAGGTTACAGTTTTTTTGTTTTTTCATTTTGAGAGTCTTGCTCTGTCACCCAGGCTGGAGTGTAGTGGCGCGATTTCGGCTCACTGCAACCTCCATCTCTCGGGTTCAAGCAATTCTCCTGTCTCAGCCTTCCAAGCAGCTGGGATTACAGGCGCACGCCACCACACCTGGCTAATTTTTGTATTTTTAGTAGAAACGAGGTTTCACCATGTTGGTCAGGCTGGACTTGAACTCCTGACCTCAGGTGATCCGCCCACCTCAGCCTCCTAAAGTGTTGGAATTACAGGCGTTAGCCACTGCACTCAGTCTACAGATTTTGAATCACATCAGTAAATCTCATTTGGGATCACATAGTCAGCCTTCTTTTTATTTTCAGATGGAGTCTCACTCTGTTACCCAGGCTGGAGTGCAGTGGTGTGATCTTGGCACTGCAACCTCTGCCTCCCGAGTTCAAGCAGTTCTCCTGCCTCAGCCTCTGGAGTAGCTGAGATTCCAAGCGCACGCCACCACACCTGGCTAATTTTTGTGTTTTTGGTAGAGACCGGGTTTCACCATGTTGGCCAGGTTGGTCTCAAACTCCTGACCTCAGGTGATCTGCCGGCCTTGGCCTCCCAAAGTGCTGGGATTACAGGTGTGAACCACTGCACCCGGCCATGTGAACCGGCCCCCGGCCATGGGATTACAGGTGTGAACCACTGCACCTGACCTTCTGTCAGATACCCGAGTTCCCACCAAGCGTTGATTCACTTCTCAGAGACAGGCAAATTCTCTACTTTTTGAGGTTGTCAGTTTCATTGTTCAAATCTTCAGACACTCAGGCCAGGCACAGTGGCTCATGCCTATAATCCCAGGGCTTTGGGAGGCTGAGGTGGAAGGATGACTTGAGTCCAAGAGTTTGAAGTTACAGTAGGCTATGATTGTGCCACTGCACTGTAGCCTGGGTGACAGAGCAAGACCCTGTCTCTAAAATTAAAAAAACAAAACTTTAGACATTCCTGTTAGTAAGCTTTTGATTTTGCTCTTCAATGTTGAGTTTATCTTTCTCCCTCTGTGACCTGCCCATTGGTTCTGATTCTAACGCTTTGGTTTTGTTTGTTGAGACAGGGTCTCACTCCATTACCCAGACTGGAGTTCAGTGGCACCATCATGGCTCACTGCAGCCTTGACCTTTTGGGCTCGAGGGATCTTCCTGCCTCAGCCTCCTGAGTAGCTGGGACTGCAGGCATACATCACGGCACCTGACTAATTTTCATATTTTTTGTAGAAACTGGGTCCCACTGTGTTGCCCAGGTTGGTCTCAAACATCTGGGCTCAAGAGATCTTCCTGCCTTGGCCTCCCAAATGCTGGGATTATAGGTGTGAGCCACCAGGCGTGGCCTGATTCTCTTTGGTAAACAGTTTAATCACTTTTCTACAATGTTTAAGTCAACTTTCCTGTTTTTCTCTAGATTAAATATCTTCTGGTCTTCTTAAGATACTTCTGGTCCTCCTATTTCTTAAAATATAATGTTCAAAACTGTGGATAGTATTCCAAATAGGTTCTGGTTTGTGTTGAGTAGAACAAAAGTCTCACTTTACACTCTGAGGATATTATATTTGCATTACTGTATCTAAAATCACATTAATTTGGAGGGCAACATTGTTATCCTCTTGATTCCTACTGAGCACATAATATCAACTTAAGCCTGTAAGTCTTTTCACACATATGTAGGCATGACTCATCTGTGCTGTACTTTTACAGTTGTTCTTTCAGACCCAAATGCAGGATCCTGAATTTATCCCTATTAGGTTGATCTTGTTAGGTTCAACCTGTTGAAGTATTTTTGGTTCATGGTTGGGTCATCTAGCACATTTGTTCTCCTGCCCAGCTTCTTGTCATCTGCAAATTTGGTAAATATGTTTTGTTTTCTCCATCTTAGTTATTAACAAAGATGTTGAGACAGGCCAAGCTGTAATCATTTCATTGTACCATACTATTGCTGGTAGATTTTAATTGGCAAGATCAATTGTGTATGGAGGTAGAATTGTCAGGTTGGATTAATTATTCCATAATTATAACAGGAATTGTCTTTTAGGTGAGTAATCCTATTGTAGCTGCTTAATGAGCTATTTAATGAGAAACAATAAAAATAAGTATGGTCTACCAGGCACAGTGCCTCACACCTGTAATCCCAACACTTTCGGAGGCTGAAGTGGGAGGAAGTCTTGAGCCCAGGAGTTCGAGACCTGCTTGCACAACAAAGTGAGACCCTCATCTCTACAAAAAAATAAAAAATTAGCTGGGCGTTGTGGTACACACCTGTGATCCCAGCTACACAGGAGGCTGAGGCAGGAGGCTCCCTTAAGCTCGGGAGGTCGAGGCTACAGTGAGCTGTGTTTGTGCCACTGCACTCCGGCCTGGGTGACAGAATGAGACCCTGTCTGAAAAAGGGGAAAACAGAAAAGAATGAACTATGGTCGTGAGATGAGGAACTAGTTTGAAAAGTTGGGGACCCTGCTTATATTCCTATATATAATAAAATATAATTCTTGTATGTTTAGATTATGTAAGGTCTTGAGCAGAAAACCCTCTGGACTGACTAGAGGCAAATGTGGTATAGGGGAAAAGGTCCTAACCTTGGCCCTGTGGTATTTGTTCATTTATTTATTCAGCAAGTGTATATTGAGTGCCTACTGTACTTAAGCCCTGGAAATAAGATGTTGACAAAAACCAGACTTGATCTTTATCTTCAGTAGAGCTTACATTCTGGTGGGGGAAACAGTTTGATAATTACAGAAATATAATCATAATACTTTCTGTGATCTGTGTTCTGGACAGGTGTTGTCCAACGGAAGTATAACGCAAGCCATGTATGTAATTTAAAATTTTCTAGTACTTACATTTGAAAAAGTAAAAAGAAACAAATTTTAATAGGTTTTATGTAACTTAATATATCTGAAATATTATTTCAACATGAAAGCAGTATTAAAAATGAATAAGATATTTTACATTCTTTTTCTTGAACTAAATCTTTGAAATCTTAAACTTGTGCCACATCTCAGCTTTGACTAGCCATATTTAAAATGCTCAGTAGCCACAGTGGAGCCACTGTATTGGACAGCACAGTTCTATACCCAGTTTTATGGACTCTGGTGTTGGGCAAATTACTTTCCTTCTTTAGGACTTCTGCTTTCATCAGTAAAATGAAGGATTCAGACTTGTTTATCTTCTAACCACAAAATGTGGTTCCCTCCAGGTATGAGGGAGCCATCCGAGGTGCCCTAAATAATCTGTATCTTGATCTGGTGGTGCTTGTGTGGGTGTATGTATAATACATAAAAATTCATCCAGGCTGTACACTTAAGATTTATACAGTTAATAGTATCTTTGTTATATTTCAGTAAAAGTTTTTTTTTTTTTTTTTAAAAACTAAGTTCACTTCCAGTTTGATTTGGTGCCCTTTGCTAAACTCACTCTTAGATGAGGAGACCTTCAGTGGAAATGAGTGATGTGAAAAATGCAAACAGCCAAGAGTTTTTTTGTCTTCTTCCCACCTAGGATGTGTCTAGTCCGAATGAAGCAGGAAGGCCGGAGTGGGAAGTACATGTGTCGTATCATAGTTCATTTTATGTGGGAGGATGTTCAGCAGCGCGGCAGAGTCATGGGGGTAAGTGAGTGCTGTCAGATGCTGGTCCTGGACAATTCTAGAGAAGGGTTTGAGTTTGGAGTTTTATCTGTTCTAAAATGGCCCTGCTTTTAGATTTCTGTGAAATGCTGCCTAATACCAAGTGGCAGTTCAGCTAAAGTCACTTTTTCTGCCTCTGTGGAAACTCATACTCCACAGATACTTTGTGTTTGTACACATTATTTGTGATTTGTCAGTATGAAGTCATCTTGTATAGAGATGGGATTGTAAAGCCCAAATCATGGTGATAGGAGGGATGGATTTGGTGAATGGAGGGAATCAAATGATAATCCAGTTAAGGATACTATACCTTTGACACCAATTCAATATTTGAACCAGTCCTATAAATTAGTTCTGATGGGAGGCCCTGGTATGGGGCCTACACTCTCCTCAGGAACTGAAACTCAAGCTCCTTGATCACTAGCAACCTAGAAGAGTCTAGTAACATACCTACTGAAAATGTACATTGATACATTTAATAATTAACCTGAGAAAGGGGAATGTATTGTATATATGTGTCACATGGGATGTAATGACAATAGAAAAATGAAACCAGGCCGGGCGCGGTGGCTCAAGCCTGTAATCCCAGCACTTTGGGAGGCCGAGACAGGCGGATCACGAGGTCAGGAGATCGAGACCATCCTGGCTAACACGGTGAAACCCCGTCTCTACTAAAAAATACAAAAAACTAGCCGGGCGAGGTGGCGGGCGCCTGTAGTCCCAGCTACTCCGGAGGCTGAGGCAGGAGAATGGCGTGAACCCGGGAGGCAGAGCTTGCAGTGAGCTGAGATCCGACCACTGCACTCCAGCCTGGGCGACAGAGCGAGACTCCGTCTCAAAAAAAAAAAAAAAGAAAAAGAAAAATGAAACCAAAACACTAGAATGTAGTTGGTTATACAGATCATAGTGTGTCCAGAGTTGGTTCCTTCTGGCGGGTTCTTGGTCTCGCTGACTTCAAGAATTAAGCCACAGACCTTCGCAGTGAGCGTTACAGCTCTTAAAGATGGTGTGTCCAGAGTTTCTTCCTTCCGGTGGCTTCATGGTCTCAATTGACTTCAAGAATGAAGCTGCAGACCTTCACGGCAAGTATTACAGCTCTTAAAGGTGGTATGGACCCAAAGAGTGAGAAGCAGCAAGATATATTGTGAAGAGCGAAAGAACAAAGCTTCCACAGTGTGGAAGGGGACCCAAGTGGGTTGCCGCTGCTGGCTAGGGTGGCCAGCTTTTATTGCCTTATTTGTCCTTGCCCATGTCCTGCTGATTGGTCCATTTTACAGAGTGCTGATTGGTGTATTTACAATCCTTTAGCTAGACACAGAGCGCTGATTGGTGCATTTTTACAGAGTGCTGACTGGTGCATTTACAATCCTTTAGCTAGACACAGAGTGCTGATTGGTACGTTTTTACAGAATGCTGATTAGTGCATTTACAATCCTCTAGCTAGATACGCAGCGCAGATTGGTGCATTTACAATCCTCTAGCTAAACAGAAAAGTTCTCTAAGTCCCCACTCGACCCAGAAGCCCAGCTGGCTTCACCTCTCAATAGTATCTTCTTTTGTTTGTGTTGTGTATTTTGTGTATCTAGATCATGTTTTAGTAGCTTGTAGTTCCCTGTTACTTCTCATTTCATTGCCTCCCAGCTTGGGAGCATCCAAATTAGAACCATGACTGGGTCATGAAATGGGTTAATTTGGTTTCTTTTGTTACAGGGCAAAGTTATCCCTGTGGACTGAGAAGTAAACAAAGTTTATGGACATATTTTAAAAGTTACATATGCTCATAGAATAGAAATCAAAGAGTAAAAAGTATTGAGTTTAAAAAAACAAGTGTCTTTTTTCTCCCCAGTTTAACTCCCCAGAAGTAACCTTTTTTATTTTTTATGTTATTTTTTCTTACCTTCAAGGAAGGAGAAAAGTAACCATTTTTGAGTTGATGCGTATCCTTCACCTGAGAGCTATCTTTGTAATCATCCTCTTTGGTTCCTTTTTCATTTTTCTCACTGTTATGCTTTCTTACTGTCTTGGCTGCTGTATAATATAGGAAAAGAAAGTATTTTTTCTGTTCTCTCACTCAATTACAATTACACAGAAGGTTTCTGTGACACATTTGTGGGAGTTTCTCCCACACAGCAAACAGGCAATCAATTCTGGAGAGAGGTCGCCAGGTGGGTGTCCTCTAACCCAATTCAATTCCAATATTGTATACCCGGAGATAGTGTCAGATCCCACAGGTTGAGGGCTTTGCCCACAAGACTGCCCCCAACTTGCCACACCAGTTGCAAGCTCCAGGCTGTTTTACTTGTGCTTCTGGCCAACCGATTATAAATTGGGGTTTCCCACCCTTTCCTTGGGTTCAGTTAATTCGCTGGAGCGGCTCACAGAACTCAGGGAAACATTTATTACATTACCGGTTTATTATAAAGGATATTACAAGGGATACAGATGAAGAGATGCATAGGACAAGATGTGGGAAGGAGTGAGGAGATTCCATACCTTTCCTGGTGTGCAGCCGTCCAGAAGCATCCACCTGTTCAGCTATCCTGAAGTGCCCCAAACCCAGTCCATTTAGGGATTTTATGGAAGCTGCGTTATGTAGGCACAACTGATTAAACCACTGGCCATTGGAAATCAGTCAGCCTCTCTGCCCTCCTTGGAGTTTGGGAGATGGGACAGAAAGTCCTAACCTTCTAATCCTCCCTTGGTCTTTTCAGTGACCAGCCCCTATCCTGAAGCTACCTAAGTGCTGCCAGCCACCAGTCAATCATTAACATACAAAAAGACACCACTTTGGAGAGGCCAAAGATTTTAGGAGTTGTATGCCAGGAAAGGAGTTGAAGACCAAATATATATTTCACAATATCACAGCTGCCCGGAGTGAGATCAGCAGCCTTTAAGGTATTCACCCAGCTGAGTGTTCCCACATGCCCTCAAGTACTTACCACCCGACTCCGTGGCAACGCACAGTGGACATAAGGTGGTGTTGGCAATCTCAGTCGTATTTAATGACGGCCAGAGATACCTCCTGGTCAGCCAAAGTCCTGGCTGACTGCCAGGCAGTTACGCAGTAGCTCTTCCTTTAGTGAACCTGTTCTTATCATTGTTGACTAAACTCTACTGGAAGTTGTCTCACTAGAGCCCTATGGGCCACAGCTGTCCCTATCCTGAATAGCTTAATGAGCCATAGGTTGCTGACTCCTGGACCACAGGAATATTTTAGTTGCCTCTGCCCGCAGATGAATTTCCTTCTGGACCTCCATCTCTCTTCATCACAGTAGTCAACACTTGAGGTTTCTCCCATGTTAATTCTTGTGTAGTGTCCCATCTACTTAACTGTAAGTTTTATAAAAGCAGAAAACCATCTTATTCAGTTTTTTGCTTATGCAGTAAACATTGAATAATTGTCAAATGAATGAATATATTGAATACCAGCCGTTGGAATTCTTTTTTAAGCTAACATTTATTAGATAAATCATACCTGATTTATTAGTCTCTGATCCAAGTGTGTATCAGTGCAGTCCTGCAGGAATTAGGGGAATTTTTCCCCTATTGCATTTTATCAAGCCATTTTTTCTGTTTGGATTGTCGTAGATAGGGTGCTGCCCATAAGGAAGTGTTTTAGGTAAGCGTTTCTCAGACCTTAATGTGCCTGTGGTTCACCTGAGGATCTTGTTAAAATACAGATTTTGATTCAGTAAGTTTCAGAACAGGGGTCAGAAAATCTCCAGTTCTGAAAAGCTTCCAGGTGATGCGGATGTTGCTAGTGACGAGGGTGGGGTAGGGGCCAATAACAAGGCTTTAGGTGGTACCCCAATACAGACTCTTAAATTGCCTTTATGAAGAGAAGTGCCCAAGTTCCGATTTAGTTACAAAGACTGTAAGTAAAGGATGATGGTTTTAAAATAACAGATTTGGAAGAGTTGGGGAATTACTATTTATTGCTTTTCTGCTATAGTTGACTTGATACCTCCTTTTAACCTCATGGCATAAATAGACACGCCTTATATAGGCAAGACAATTGTATATTAACCAGTGGGTTGTGAATGCATGCATGGATGAGTGTGAGTGCATGTGTGTGTTTGAGGGGATCTCAGTCTTCTGTGTGTGTACAGCCTATAAATGGGACATGTGGTTAGGGAGAAGTAATAGGCAGTGTAGTTCTCACCCTGACTGGCAAATCTTTCCTCTTCTGTGCTTCAGTTTCTGTGTTAAAAAAAAAAAAAAAAAAAAAAAAAGGTGGGGGGAGGGGGGAGGCCTAACTGCATGAGCCCCAAGTTTTCAGCTTTTTTTGAGCTTGAAAATCTGATTTGAAGGTGGTAATTTGCAAATCTGTGTCTGTGTTATTTGGCATCCCAGGTGTACCTCTGTAAGAAAACTCATATAAAAAGTAGAATTTATAAAACCGGTCAATGTAGTAGTGATTTTTCTCATGCCAAAATCTTAGAGGTGATTGCTTTGAGTGGATTGGTGTGTGGAAGGTCAAGAAATAAGAGAGCCACTTTTGAGTTAGTGATGAATAATAAATTTGCATCAAAAACTCCTTTGAAATTAGAATTCTATTCTGATTTGGTGGGAAAATTTTTATTTTACGAAAATTTGCTTTTCACCAACTTTTTGGAGCCCAACTATTGTGAAAAATGGAGCAGACTCATATATCATCGTGAAGCTGGTACAAAAAGCAGGTGTTAAATTTGAGGTTACAAAAATCACATCAATAATTTAGAGTGTTCTGACTTAAAAAAACATTATTTGGGATTTAAACTTATAAATTAGCTGTGGAAATAAAGTTCATTATATCACCTCATCTGGTCTTGTTTTATTTCATTAACTGCTTCTTAAAAATCTTTGTGAGCTGAGTTGCAGCTGAAGAGGTTGGAGACCGTTTTTCCTTGGGCCCTTGCCGCACTCCTGAGTGTTGGTAAGAGTAAAGAACTAAGACTTGACACAGCTGTAAAAACAGACAGCGCCTTTGGCCTCAGCACTTT